TGGCTACAGAGAATATTTCGTAACCATCCTCAGCTTCCAATACATTCTTCCACAACAGCATTACATCTAATCCATGTGATGGATTTTGAAGAGGGTCCCAACCCTGAAACACCCTGATAAACAATGGCAAAGCAAACGAGCAAGCAATGCATGATAAGTTACAAAGCTTGTAATCATCGGGATAATTATGCTGCAAATTACTGAAACGTGCAGCAAGAGAATTCAAAGTCAAGGTTCCTAACATATTTTCCTCCTCAATTCGGCCTAACTCGCTGACAATATGCTCCATGTTATTCAACTGCTTTCTTTGGCGTGCTTCCTCAATCTCCAGTTTCTCCTTCTCATTTTGCAAGCTCAACACTGTCTCCCTTTCGTTCCTCAAATCCCTATCAATCTTCTGAATTTCATGCTCTGCCAGGTCCACAATCAATCTCAAATTATGCTGCAGCTCAGGCATTGGAACATCACTTTCTCTAGCTTTCTCCTCCGCATCCAAATTCTCCAAATTTGTCAAAATCCTCACCTGCCTCCCCCGCATATCAATCACTGTCTGGCCACCACCGAAACCCTGCTCTTGCTTCTTTTCCAACAACTCCTCAGCAGTAATGTAAGTCTCCTCTTTCTTCCCTCTCTTCTTCCAACGAGCTTTCCCTTTCTTAGTTGGTAGCTGCTGATTCACAGTGACACTAACACTCTTCTCCTCCTCTAGTTGCTGCAAACCAGGCATCTTGGTGCCAGTCTCCTTGAAATCATTGAAGCCCATTCCCATGTTCTTGGGTCTCATCTTGGCCTCAATGGGCGCAACAATCCCTTGTTGATTCTTCCCAAGTCCACCTCCTTTATACCCCATTTTCTCAAGCAGTTTCATCCCAATCCCTTTGGTATGCTTCTCGAATACCCCCACATCCCCAGTCGCGACTTCCTTCTTAGCACCCCCTTGGCTCTTCTTCTCCTGCTTGGCTCTCTCCCTCCTTTTCTCCGCCCCCTCCTTAATCTTCCTTCCAAAAGCACCCGATAACAAACTATCCTCATCATCCACATCATCTTCACCCTGATATTGTCTCGCAAAGGAGTTTGTATTGTTAAACCCTAATCCAGACGATATTCCTAACCCAGCCCTCCCACTCCTACCATCATCATCGTCCAAATCAACAAACATATCGTCGTTACTATTTCTATTATTATTGTTATTACCACTGACATCGCGGATCTCTTCCCTAGAATTGTTATCAATCTCCTGATTGGGCATTACCGTACCTGTGGAGACAAAGCTTACGGGCTTCGTCAAGTCGGCCTTCCGGCCAAAATCCCGGTCCTTCCGACGTTTCTTGGAAGAGGATCCATCGTAGTCGGAATCGGAGTCGGAGACGGCGTTGAAAATACCGTAGAGGACGTCTTCCCTAGTCTGCTTTTGCTTCTGCCTGCGCTTCTCGTAGTAAAACTCCCCGTTTATCCATTGGCCACCCTCGAAATCGTTGTCCATCCCGAATATCTCCATCTCCTGATAATCGTACATGTTTCTAGTGATTGTACGCCTGCTTCTCCCTGAAACTTGAATGAGTTTGGTGGGATTTCAGATAAGAATAAAGGAAGCGAGGAGGTCAAGTCAGTATGTAATTCTGCAGTAGATTTATGAAGGAAGGATGAGATACTCTTGCAGAAGATTTAATCTTTTCCTTCTTCATTCTTTTTTGAACTTCTCTTGCAGAAATTTCTTGTAAGGATTTAGAGGGAGGGAATCGCCATTGATGGAGGACGGTGGCAACAATGGGCCGAACCTTAATTAGGGCTTCCTTATGGGTTTTATCCAGAACTATTTTCTTTTATTTATTTATTATAAATTATGAACGTAAAACTAAATTATTTTCTTTTATTTATTTATTTATTTATTGTTAGAATATTTAATTCATTCTCTGTGAAGCTTGAGCGGCAAGCATGGCGGTGGGGAAAAAAAAAGAAGAATCAAGAGTAGTGGTTTAAGGAAGAAGAGAAGAAGATTCGAGAATGGCGACAAGAGAAGAAGAAGAAGAAAAAAAAGAAAATGGCAGTGAGAAGAGTCGATAATGGCGGTTTTTCAAGCAGTCACAAACACACACACATATATATATATAGGCCATGTATAAGCAATATATATATATCTTGCGTACCTCTCTCTCTCTCTGTTTTTATATCTCTGAAATAGAAATTAGTTTCTAAAAATGTCTAATATATCCTTAATTTTTCTAAAAATGCATAATTGACATACTTTTAGCCTTATTTACAATATAACCCCTCAAAGTAGATAATTTATGTTTCAGTCCCAACAACAGCTTACAATTTTCAGTTTAGTCCCAATATTTGGTATATTGAGAGTGAGATTTGTCGGTTAGCTTCAACATGCTTAATGCATTTTGGGATGCAAAATTTTGTTCTCTGAAATTTATAAAATTTGTGTTCTTTTTAATTAATAAAATTTTAAGTACTTATTTAGTCATCAAATTTAATCTTTTTAGGTAGTCACAACATATTTAAATTATCAACAAATAATATCATATTATAAAATTTGATCAAGATGACTACGAGTTCAACAATAGGAGTCCAAATTCAGCATATGCAGTCGATAATTTTTAAATTTGATGGCAAAAATAATTTTACAACATGAAAATATTTAACGGAATTATGATTAAGAAGTAATGGTTATGGTGAAGGAAAAAGGTATTGTTAAAAAGAAAAAACTATCAACTAAAGAATTACAATGGTTGGATTTAAGAATACTTTATTTTTAATTTATTAGCATATAAAGCTATCGGTTCTCGAAAAAATATTACATGTTAAAATAATCATCTTATTGAAAATAAGGAAGTCTTCTCTGAATTAGATGAAATTAATTCTTAGAGTCCAAATTCTAATAGAAATATCAGAAAAAAATTAATTATTCTAAAATCAATTTCAAAGAAATTAAGAAGTCTAGCAAAAATTTTACGAATCATATAATTTCTCAATTGTTGAGCTATCAAGCTTTGAAAAAGCTGAGAAGTAACCAGAAACTTGGGGTGGATAAGATGATGTGAAGGTGGATGAATTTGAAGAAAAACAAGAAGAAAATCATGATAAGAGCCGAACATGAAAACTTGTTTATGTTCAACTTGTTACTATAAATATATAGTATTAAGAAAAAAGAAAAAAAAAAAAAACTTGAATTTAATACCAATCGAGTTTCTTCGACTTTCAATGGGGTGCCTATTCAAACAGATAAGAATGAACCGGAAATAAAATTAAATTTAAGTATCATGGATCGAATTTGTTCCCCAAAGCAAACTAAAGAAATTATAATAAATTTAAGTTGTTAATATTTTATTTTTTTATTATAATTAGGAATGTAAAATTAAATTAATTTTATTTTTTTATTTATTATAATTTATGATCCAAATTCATGCACCTATGAATGATTTTGCAGAGACCGAGGAGTTGAATGACCTAACAACACCCAACAAGATCCGATCAAACCTAGTTTTTCACTTACGTCTAACGTAAAATATCTCCCACCGTCACATCGCCTGTACGGCCGCCACGTGTCAATTTCAGATTCATTCTCTCTCATCTTCCCCAATCTACACACACCTTCTGCTCTCTTCTGCTCCGCCTGCAAGCCTTCTTTCTTACAGTTTCAATGGCCAAATCTCTGCTTACTACACCACCTCCGAATCGTTCTGTCCTACGCTCAAATTCTTCTCCTGCTTCTCCTCCTATTCCATGCAACCCCGTTTGTTTCCCGCTAACCGACAAAATCCCTCCCCTTACTCTCCTCCTTCCCACTCGCTGTTCCATCGGTTCCCTTCATCGCCGGCTCACTCCGATCCCCTCACTTGATTCCGACGTTCCGCATCCTCTTCACCAGGTAATTTTGGAAAGATTGATTAAATTCGTTCTACTTGTTGATGATTCATCTTTTCAGTTATCTAATACGAAATGCTACTTTTGGCTGCTGATAAAATCGCATGCAATAATGCGAAAATGGGGTTGCAATGTATTATCTGGTCCTTGATGGTTTTTGCTTTGGCATAAGATAGTGCAGCTGTTCTAGTTTAGGTTTCCGTTTTCTTCTTTTTTCTTTTCGTAGTGGTGGCATTCGGGTTAGTTTCACTTCCTTTTTGGTCTCTTTTGGTTTCTTGATAGCCAAACAGCAGTAATATATTATAATTTTATCTGTTTTTTTGGGATTAATGTTGAAAGGAGTCGGTGAACTTGAAGAGCAGTAAGAGCTACGAGCAATGGGATTCATGGACGGCGAAGTTTTCAGGGGCATCAAATATTCCGTTTTTGCTGCTGCAATTGCCTCAGATCATCCTTAATGCTCGTAATCTTTTGGCGGGAAACAAAACTGCACTTTTGGCGGTCCCATGGCTGGTAATATTGCATTAATTGCTTTCTTCCTTTTTTCTTTTTTCATGGTTGATTTACACTTTTTTTTCTTTTTTAATGTTGATGAATTAGAATCACTTGAAGTCAAATATCATTTTTTCCTGCCTTTTCATATGATAAGAACCTAAAACATTATTAACAACCTATCTATTTTTACTCCTGTGCTGCTCCTTACATTTTAACAGGAACGTTAATTGGAGTTCACTTTGATTACTAGTCATCTGTTAACAAGTATAATATTTGCTATTTTTCTTCCATAAATATTGTCGATATTGTTCAAAAAGTGTATTTTGATTTTTCCCCTTTTATATAAAAGTTAAGTTTATTTTGATTCTCTTCCCGGGATGTTGTCAATATGGAAGTCATTGAAAAAGCATGAAATTTTACCAGGGCATCCATGTTGTTACTATAGGTTCTAGTTAGTTAAAGCTTTTGGAGATCATTGGTCATTCTCATGGATTTGAATATTTGTTCTTTTTCTGCTATTTATGTTTTTCTGTATGATCTTTGAACCCTGGTGGATTTTTGTTTTAAATACAGGGGTTGTTTGCAGGGTTGCTTGGGAACCTATCTTTACTTTCATACTTTGTAAAGAAGAAGGAAAATGAGGTAATTGTGGTGCAGACATTGGGGGTGATTTCAGCTTACGTGGTGTTTGCTCAGCTTGCCATGGCAGAAGCCATGCCTCTTACTCACTTTGTGATGACCTCAATCGTTGTGGCCATGGGTCTTATTGTTAATTTTATTTACTACTTTGGTAAGCTTAATGCTGCAATCTGGCAATTTTGGGAGGATTTTATTACTGTTGGTGGACTATCATTCTTACCCCAAGTAATCCTTCTCGCTCTCTGTTTGTTTTTGTTCAATGTAGACGCTAATGCAAAAATGTACCTACCCAGTTAAAGATCTTGATAATAACTTAAAAATTTTTCATGAATACAGATTATGTGGTCTACATTTGTTCCGTATATACCCAACAGCATCTTGCCTGGGGCCATTGCTTTTGTTGTATCTGTAGCTGCTGTTATCTTGGTAAGCTTAATACAAGTTATTCTTCTGCTTTTAGTCATTTGATGAAATTGGGTGTCTTTCCTCAGAAATCCTAGAAAGAAACTGCAGCATATACGTATATGTTTTTGTGGGTGTTACCTTTGTGATTTCTGATGTACCTGAAGAAGATTAGCAATAATGAACTTACTAAACGCAGGCAAATTGCAGAAGTAGTCAGCTAATACCAATTAAAATTTTCCTTTCCCTTTGTGGGTGTTTATAAACGAGCAGTTATTTCAAACTTTTCTACCCAAAAGCAATTCTACCTGAGTATCTACATATTTGACCAACATATATAGATAATTTGCTGTTCAGATGCATCTTTTAAGTTTTTTTTTCTTGAAAAGATGTCATATTAAACGAGGGAAGAATTTATAGGGGAACAAAGTCTACCACATATATTATATTATTTTCTTGTTCAATAGTAAGTAAACCAGAAAAAAATGTACAAGCTCAAATAAATTTCTATTCTAGATGTAATGATTATGCAGAGAAACAGTGGTTCTTCTTATATCCAAGTATATTCTCACATGCTACGCCTCCGCTGGTATGGTCTTAAAGTACTAATTCATGGCCGGAAAATGTCTCTTAAAATTGGGACCCCAGTGTTTGAATCATGCAAACATCTTGAAAACGGTTGAGATCTTTATCAGGTTACAAATAGTAGTCAATTTAGGATCATAACAATTACACCCGGTAATTAAGTTCAGGATGCTGCAACATGATATAGTGCTACGTTACCCACTTTGGTTCACCAAACTTAATAGCAGTCCCCTTCCTGGATGTGGCATGCTGGGTTCCTGTCTGCCGGGCTTATATAGTTGACTGTCAAAACTGGTAATAGCAGCATTGCACTTTCTTTATGTTAGCATGGCGGACGATAATTGCTCCTTGAGCACTATGATCTGAATGCTTGTATTATTAAGAGCAGAGCTTTCATGCTCTTTAAACATTGCACAAGGATACTGCAAAGATGAAAGTGATTGTTTAAGAGGGCTTTGTCTGATAATAAGAACAAAAGATTATAACCAACCAAAATGTGATAAGCAGTTGCCACTTCTTTTGCACATTGCCTGCAGATGAAACCAAGAAAACATAATGAATATGAATGGCTTCACCATTTTCCTAATTGTGAAAAGTAGAGAATATCATATAGCTTTGGCTAGTTTGATTCGTATACTTGTGACTGTTTGCTGCCTCTTAATTGGTAACATATACTGATATTTATTTTCTTCACCCGCGAACCTGGGTAACATGATCCAATGGTGGATCTAGATACTTCTACAACAAATTTCTGAATTTTTTATTTTTTATTTTTTATTTTATCTTATTTTTCTTTGAGGATATGAAATTAAGGTTAAAAGACTGGGATGTTGCTCTCATTCTGTCCCAAGAAGAAAAGTTGTTTGTTTCGCAATAGATCATATGGGGTATTCAGATAAGAAGTATAATTCTAGTTTTGAACTTCTGGTCTTCCCCACTATTATCTTCTTGAACTTGTACAGAGAAGTAGGTGATCCTATTCAGTGATCTTTTAAACTTGCCGCTGCTAAGATTTGCAGGCACGAATAGGCAAACTTCCAGAGAAAGGTGTAAAATTTCTTGGAGGAATATCTGGCTGGACGGCAACACTTCTTTTTATGTGGATGCCTGTTACACAGATGGTAATTTCCATCAAAGCTCATTGTTTTTTTGTTTAATTCTTGCATTTCAAACAGATCCATCCTGGATGAATGTCTGACTTGGGATTATGCTTCCTTTTCAGTGGACAAATTTTCTATATCCTCACAACATTAAAGGCTTATCGGCTACCTCAATGTTGCTTGCTATGATTGGAAATGGACTTATGATCCCACGAGCATTATTTATTCGTGATTTCATGTGGTATTGGTCTTCTCCAATCAAATACTTGTAGATCTAAAGAATGTTCTTTCTCATAATATACATGTTCACTGCACGCATATCAGTGAAATCACTGAAGCAACTGATAGCTTCCAGGATGTCCAGTTTGCTCAAAGTATATGTCCAGTTTCTCATGTGAGACATGAGAAATCCAATTTCGTATGAATAGTAGTCACTAGCAAGATTTAATTGATCACAAAATGTAGTTGCAATTTCGTCCTTAATGGTTTCTGATTATCTTCTCTGCCTTTGCGACCATACTTGTTTCTTGATGCATAAATAGATGTGGTTTTAGTATATGTATATTGAGGGGATATCATTTCAACTTCAATTGCAGGTTCTTAGGTTCAACCTGGGCTTCTCTCTTCTTTGGATATGGAAATATCCTATGGCTGTATTGGTAAGAGCTTTAGATCCATATGAAACTATGCAATAAGAAGCTGTTTACTAGTAGAAGTTATTCTATCTTCAAGAAAAAATTTCATCTTTTTAGACACAACTCCGAAAAAACAACAAATTTTTGAGATCATTTCTTCCAGTTTTAAAAACATCTAAAATATTTTCTGATCTTCTTGAAATAGAGAACTAAAGTTCTAAAAACAGAATGCCCTAAACACAATACTGTTACTTGTTTGCAGGTTCAACTGTATTAGCAGGGAATTCTTCTTGGCTGCAACAGTTGGTTTATTTTCTTGGATAGGTTGTCTCCTGAAAGATAATATGAGAAAAATTCAACTGGGAAATTATTCTTCACGTTGCAATTTAGATAATCATTTCAGCATCAGAGAGATTTCTCATTCTTTTTTTTTTTTTTTTCTCTTTTTTTCTCACTAATTGACAGGAATGGCTCTATGGAGGGATCCAGTGGTTCATGGATACAACTCTCCCTTGAGATCATTAAAAGAGTTGGTTTTTGGCTCTTAACATTAAATATGCATGCAACTCTGTGTTCATAGAAGCAAAGGCTTGTTTGCACGAAAGCACGGAAATCTTCTTTCTGCCGAGAAGCCAAGTGTCTAACCAACAATATCGATCATTTTCTGCAAATTGACAGAGCTTCCAGCTGCAAGATATGTGATTAGGTAACTATAGTTCATTTCAGTCAATAAGAAAGTGTTTGATAATGTTTCATAGTTTAGAACTTGTTTCGTAGTATTGCAACATTGATATACGAAGAGAGTAATTAATGTTGTATTTAACGAACATAAGCTCTATACTAATAAAAATAGGAATAAACCTTCTGCAATCATGTTTCTCATTTATACAAGTAAAAAGTGATTGTAGGGTCTGATTTTGGCTCCAAAAAGTTCTTGTATTCTTTGAGTTAGATCATTAGCCATGCTCAAAATATACACTCAAGGAACACAATATGAACCCCAAGAGAATGGTTTGATCTTGAAACTGATTAGAGGAATGAGATTTTTATTCTTGGGCCAATACTTAAATTTAGTTTTCAAAATACAATTAATGTTATAATTTAGTCTTTTTTCATCACAAATTAGTTTTTAAATTTTTAAAGTTGTTTCAAAAGTTTAAGGCTGTTAAATTTGGATTTTGAAAAAAAAGAAAAAAAAAGAAAAAACATATATATCAAATATAGCTTAGGATTTATTTGGTAGTAAAAAAAAAATTAATTATTTTTGTAATCTATAATTTTTTAATTAATATTAAATTATTTCTATTTAATGTATTATATTAATATTAGTTTTTTAATTATTTTTGGGGTCCATGTTTTCTTTTGCCTCCAAATAAATTCTCAGTCAGTTTTGATTGTTTTTTTTAATCTAAATTTTAATATTGTTAAATTTTTTTAAATAATTTTAAAAATTTGGGAGACCAACTTCTAATAAAATAATATTTCGAGAACTTAATTTATAATAAAATAATGGTTCGAGAATTAAGTTAAAGATTTACTTTTTGTTTTATATTTTTAATAAATTTTATAAGTAACTATAGATACTTTTATGTCTAATATAATAAAAGGAGTTAAGAAATGTAATATCGTACGGAGCATTCATTCTAGTTTATATACATATAAGGAAAACAATATTATTTTGCTATAGAATCTAACCGTGACAATTCCACATTTTCAAAAGGTGAACCCAAGAAGCAATGAACTAATAAAGTAAAACGTAAATAATTAAATAAGAGCCAAGAAACCCTCTAAATCTAAATATGATATAAAGGAATCCCTATACATAATTTTATTTTAAATATTATAATACGTATCTTATATATATATATATATATATATATATATACATACATGGACATTACTAATTAAATTATACTAATTTCATAAGCTAAGAGAGTTAGGTTACCCGACTATTAATTCCATTTTGAAGGCACCCAAGATATAAGAAACCATAGTAATGATAACTAATGTTCTAATTATTCATAATTATATTCGGATGAATATATATAATATATATTCCAACCCACGTAATTACATTTACATAATTATATTCGGATGGTAAAAATATATATTCACAATAATGTTATAATTACATTTTACATTTTTTTTAAAAAAAGAGAGAGAATATGAAAGATATTTTCTTGAAAGAAAACACGACAACATAAACAAGCAGCACGTGTAAAGCAGAAAATTGAATTATTTAATATTTTTTATTTTATTAATTATTATTATATTAAAAACATCACTTCACTCCTACCAAAATCTTTGTATACAACGCCATAAACATAACGTCAAAATTCTCATCACCTTCATCCTCATTCTCTCTCTGTTGATCTTGGTCGGTTTCCCATGGTGTCGTCCAGTCAAAATGCTACCCGGAGGCTCCTCGGCTTTGGGTTTTGGATTCAAGGTTTCAGAGCTTTCCCATGGATGGCGATCAACTTCTTCCTCAAAGATACTCTCAACGTCGACCCATCCACTCTCCAGCTCCTGCAGAATTCTGCCAATCTCCCCATGGTCGCTAAGCCCCTATACGGTGTCGTTTCCGACGCCATCTACTTCTCTGGCCAGCACCGCCTTCCTTATATTGCAATAGGAGGTATCTCGAAACGTTTCAGTTTTCCCGTTTCT